CAATTTGTTGTCATAACACAATTGGTTTTCTCATTCTATGCCTTGACTTTGTTGATAACAAATTGTAGGCAAGTTTTTGGATGCGACTCGATGTCAGGCATTTGCTCTGGAAGGGAGATGTTCGTCCAGTACAACCGTCGTTTTTGCTGTGGTGATACCCACTTCGAATCGGTGAGCCCAGACACAAGTGCGTCGTAATCTCAAATCTGTCTTCCCATTTCATCGAGGAAGCATTCTCGAGCAGAAACCATTTTGGTCTCGCCTCATTCATTACTCTTGTAAAAAATAATCTACTTTTCGGCCCGTGCAATCCATGTTTTTCCTTCACCGTTCCCCGACGCTCAGGCCTTGCCAAATCCACATGCATCTCCCCTGGGTCCTTTCGCCCGACTCTTCTCAGGTCCTGCCAATTTTGCATTCATACCACTCTTTGTCCTTTCTTGTTCTTTACTTATTTTTAACATTTTCATGCATGTTGCCCAGTTCATATCTTGTGCATCTCTCTTTCAGACACCTTGTCAGACCTTTTTCTCAGACTCATGCAACCCAAATGCTCATCTGTTTCCCAGCCTGCCAATCTTTCTCTCAGATCCATACATAGTCCATCATACGAGTCTTTTTCTTTTCCAGACGTCTTGCTCGGCCCATTTTCAAGCTTATGCCCAATTAATCACACAAGTCGCTTGCCAGGTTTTTTCTCAAGCTCATGCAACATCAATTTCTCACCCGTTTCTCTTCTGAACATATTGCCAGGCCTTTTCTCAAGCCTGCGCAAAGTCAATTACTCATTCATTCTTCTCTTCTGGACATCTTGCCAGACCTCTTCTCAAGCTCATGCAACGTTAATTACTCATTCATTCTTTTCTTCTGGACATCTTGCCAGGCCTTTTCTCAGGCCTGCGCAAAGTCAATTACTCATTCATTCTTTTTTCCTGGACATTTAGCCAGACCTTTTCTCAAGCTTGCGCAAAGTCGATTACTCATTCATTCTTTTCTTCTGGACATCTTACCAGACCTTTTCTCAAGCCTGCGCAAAGTCAATTACTCATTCATTCTTACGCTCATGGTACCCTTCTCTTTTGCACGTTTTTTCTTTGGTAGATGGCACACCTTCCCCCCACTCAAAATGCGATGTCCCCATCGCACGACTAGTTCTCACTCGGAGGTACGCAACCTTTGGCCCACCAACGGGTAGGCGGATGCCGGCCCATCAGCCCCAAAAAGGAAGGGTGATCAGTCCTCCCCCTGCTGATAACTCACCTCATCCCCTTACTCCGTCCGACCTTTTTGCCGCTTACGAGACGAGCGTCATTACTGAGGTACCTCCTCACATCTGGAAGGCAGGTCCAGTCCAAGCCTCCCAGGACCCCGTCTTGTCGTAAGGGCTTCCTCGCGAACCGTTCCTCCCGAGTGGTAATTTTCTGGATTCGGCCTCTTCCTTTCAAGAGAGTTGGGGCTCTCAGTTTGTCGACAAGTGCAGTTACGAAGACCTCGCAATTAGTCTCAAAGCGGTTGTAATGCTCTGGCGGGGCGGTGTCACTCGCCCCGTGGTGGTTGCGGCTTCCACCCGGTACCACGCCCAACTCCTCCCTTCTGGACAATGCTGCTCAACTTAACGCGAGCCGCCGTGGTCCATTCCAAGCGGTCATGCCGCCCCTCAACGACATGGCGTGTGGCTGGGGAGAACAAAAGAGACTAGAAAAAAAGAATAGCTCTCTCGCCCATTTGGTTCCCTCACCCTTTGACGTTTAGGCGTTCAACACGAGGCGCAATTTGAACTTCCCGACTACAGCTCGTTGTCGGGGTCAGTTCCGGACGTCCCGCACCGATCCAAGTGGTAGGTGCCTTGGTCCTTTAACCCTCATCCCCTCACAAGAAGAACAGGTCGCGCTGAGACTTTTTTCCTTACAGGGATAGAGGTCTTGGGGTGCGAGCACCGGTATCCCCCTCCTGCTGAGGCCAAAGACTAGAAAAAAGATAAATCCATTTCAATGTTATTTCCAAGTCCATTTCAAGTTGCCTAGGGTCCCCTGCCTATGCAATGCAATATTCAATCCTCAATCATTCAATCCAATGTTATTTCCAAGGTTGATTCTCATGGTTGGTCTGACAGCCTCTTATCAACAAGGCCACCCCCACGGCCGGTCTGGCGGTCATTCTCTCAATAACCATTTCTCAAGACTGACCCTTCCGCCCACTCAATCCTCAATTTTCTCATTCCTCAACACCCAATTTCTGTGACCGTCCCAACGGTCTCTGCCCTTCTCGACTTTAAGGCCCCGCCTTCTTTATCGTGTCCTTCTCATTCGCATTTTTCTTCCGCCCCCTTGGCAATTTTCAGTGGTCGACCCACCGGCCTTTTCCATTTCCTTTATTCAACTCATTGGCTATTTCAACGACCGACCCACCGGCCTTTTCCATTTCTCTCATCACATTGGCTATTTCAATGTCCGACCCACCGGCCTTTCCCATCTCTCTCATCCCATTGGCTATTTCAATGACCGACCCACGGCGTTTTCCATCTCCCTCATTCATCCCTTGGCTATTTCAATGACCGACCCACCGGCCTTTTCCATCTCTCTCATCCATCCTTTGGCTATTTCAATGACCGACCCACCGGCCTTTTCCATCTCTCTCATTCATCCCATTGGCTATTTCAATGACCGACTCACCGGCCTTTTCCATCTCTCTCATTCATCCCATTGGCTATTTCAATGACCGACCCACCGATATTTTCCATCTCTCTCATTCCAGCTCATTCTCAATCAACCTTTCTCAATCCAATATGCAGGGGACCCCAGTTCCTATTTCAAAAGGAATGACCCTTGTCAGGGGCCATTCCCGAACAACCTGGTTAGGGTCATTCTTTTCCATTCTCAAGTCGAACAGCTTGGTTAGGGTCATTCATTTCCATTCTCAAGTCGAACAGTTTGGTTAGGGTCATTCCTTTCCATTCTCAAGTCGAACAGCCTGGTTAGGATCATTCCTTTCCATTCTCAAGTCGAACAGTCTGGTTAGGGTCATTCCTTTTCATTCTTAATGTTAGTGCCCGAGGGGGTGGGCCTCGGGGTTACGGATCCCATTTCTGTCTTGGAGGTTAGAAGGTGGTCATCTCATCTTTTTCGTGTTGTTCTCTTTCTTCCATTTCTCACAGTATTGTACCATCCATTCCATTTCTCACAGTAATGTACCATCCATTTCATTTCTCACAGTAATGTACCATCCATGCGTACATCCGACTTAGCGTCTAACACTTGAGTCGGGGCTTGCGACCCCAAGCAGCACTAACCCACCCGGTCGTTCATCCATAACAAAAGACAAAAGCGCCCCTTCCATTTTCACTCTTCCTGATCTCTCAGGTCTCGGTTATTCTCAGTCTCATTCACGACTCAGTTGGATTAGGCTCCTCGGGAAGGAGTGTTCTTCACGCCCCTTAACCCATAGGTTCCCTAACCTCTCTTGTACTCGACCAATCATTCAATGCCATGGTTTGCTCGTCAATCCGTACTCAAGGTTTTTCCCTCTCAAAAGCATAATCCTTGTTCCATCCAAATTTCACAATACACCCTCTCCCAATTGGTCTCATCCCAAATCCCATGTCTTTGTCTTAGGTACCCAAGGTAGCTAATCCAAAAAGTAGCCTAAAAAACTATCTTCTACTTTAGCGTGACACAACCTTGGCTGACCCTCTTTTCACTTCCTCCTTAGCAAGCTTGCCCATATTATACACGTTCTCGTCATTCTCATGTCTCTGCAGACAGAAAAGCAGCGATCCCTTTCAACGCTAGGTCAACACCTAGTTCCTATTGCTGCCTTGCGTCTCGTCTTGCCCAGTTCCTTGTCCACCCCGTTCCTTGGCAGGCTTCCTAACCCCTAGGCCGTAGGTCTCGATCTCTCTTTTCATCCTTACAATTTTATGCAACTCTGCCTCGTTGAAAAAATCCAGTGGTGTGGCTTCCACCCCTTCCCTTGTGAGTTCCCGAGTCTTGATAATCCATTCGTGCCTGATTACATTGGTCCATTGCTGAAACCAATGATTGGGCGTTGGCCCGAACTCGTCCTCCCATCTGAAAGCCCCATCGCCCGGTTGGTGCATCGGAGACCGCCCCTCTTCCCTAGGCCTTGAGATCTCATCCCTCTCATCCCCGCTGCTGATTTCTATGACTTCTCGCACATCCTCCTCCTCGTCCCCCTCGTCTTCAGTCTGTATGGGGCTATACTCACTAGCAAGGTTCTTTGGATCGTAGGTAAAAGAGATCTTTGTCCCCGTCCCATACCCCTCGCAACTACCGTGACCGCTTCGTCCTTCAAACGAACTCTCCCTTTTCTCCTCGTCCTCCTCACGTTCGTCGCGCATACCTTGTCCCCCCTCGCTTTTCCCATGCCAAGTCTCACGTGGTTCGCCCCTGTTGGCCCCTTCCTCGTTAGAGACCCGAGCCTTATCACCCATTTCTGTGTTGCCTCTTTCTTCCACATTTGCCCTTCCCTTTTCGCCCTCACTGTCAGATGATATTTCTATACCTTCTCCCTTGCGGAGGGGTGAGGGTTTCCTACACAAGCATTTCCTTCCACCCCTGCCTACCACTGGCCCGCCCATGAGCCCAATGTACAATTTTCTCTTCGCTGTCCTCCTCCCTTGGCTTGGTCCAGCTTCTTCCCCTCCGGTAGGCCTGTTGATTGCCCCGCTGTCGTTCTCGTTGCCGAATTCCATTTTTGTCTTTTCTCGTTTTACTCCTAAGCTCTGTATAACAAAACAACACCCGCAATGTACCTCATATACTTATGCCTCCCCCCCCCTTAGGCCGGTAGACATTCCCAAAATGCACCCAGTATCCCTCGCATCACGCCTTTTTTTATACATGCGAATGCGTCGTTTGTGATGACCCCATATTTTTTCCGTAAAAAACTATGGTACAATGCCCCAAACATCCCTTCCTGTTGTCACACAAGCCAGATATTGCAAACCCCCAAGTCATGCTACCTTTCAACCTCAATCAGTCCAAGCCAAAGCACCAGTCCCAAAAAAAATGATAGTCCCACGAACATGGTCAGAGACAAACCATAGTGTGGGCAAGGCTGTGGTTAGTCTTTAGCTTGTGGCTCCTCTGTTTCCTTATCTTTGGCCTCCTGAAGCCATTGTTCCACTGGGTCCCGACTTAGAAACCTGACCAGTCGTTGCCCCGAGAAGGGCCCTTTCAATCCAGTTTCATCCAAATCTTTCATTTCGAAGGTGTTCAGTCCCACCCGCTTGGCGACCCGGTAGGGGCCGTTGAACCTCCTTCCCAACTGTCCCGACCAAGTACTTTCTAGTGCCGAGTTCCATAACAATACCATCTCCCCCGCCTGAAGTGACTCCTTTCTGACATTCTTAACCTGGTCCCACCTTGCTTTGTCCCTCATTCTGCTGTCCAGCACCCGATTGGCGATGTCCTCCATGACCTCCTCATTCTTAAGGATTTGTTGACACCTTGCCTCGATTAACTCTTCAGTGGTCATTTGCGGACCATCATCTAGCCTATTCCAGGTAGGTACCAAGGCTTCTATAGGAAAGTCGATCTCTCTTTCGTACCAAAGCTCTGCCGGGATACATCCTGTTGTCCTTTTAGGAGTCATATTCTCTGCAAAGACAGCCTGCTTAGGATACCTCGGCCAGTTCCCCAGATGGTCTGCTGCGAGCTTTGCAATCGTGTTCTTCAAGGTTCGGTGCCCCCTTTCCACAGGTGCATTGGCCTCAGGGTGATACGGCTCGATGAGTTTGATCGGAACGCAGAGTCTCTTAAGCATCCCCAATACTTCTTGGTTCACAAATTTCGTCTCATTGTCTGCTATAAACCTCCTGACGAACGAGTGCCTTAAGTAGAAGTCTTCTATCCAGTCCGCCACACTCCTCACTGTCTTTTTCTTGAGGGCGACTGCCTCCACGAACCCACTCAAGTTGTCTCGCGCATCCATGATATACCTGTACCCATCCGTTGATACAGGCATGACCACAAGGTCGAGGTGGACCAGATGTCCCGGCCGTAGCACCCGCGTTGGTCTAAGCGGCTCGAAGACTTGTACCGAGCTTTGTTCTTGGCAAATAAGGCAAGTCTGGCAGTATATGGCGACCATGCTTGCCATGCCTGACCAATAATAGAGCGGCGTTATCTTTGCAAGTGTTCCTTTGGACGACCGATGACCTCCAGCTAACCCGTCGTGCATTGCCTGTATAACGTCTACTTGCCTAGATCTTCCGCACACAACCCTTTTGGGCATAGCACCTTCCTCCCTTCGGAACAAATGCCCGCCCCTTAGGACGTACCTTTCGGCTTCTTCTCTTGCCTTAATACTGACTTCCGTAGGTTATTTGTTTCCTACCAACAACAAACCGATCTCCCAAAAGAGCCCTTCGTAGGATTGGACATAGAAAAACTCCTCTCCTTCCTTTCCCCCATCCTTTCCTTTCTACATCTGATTTACCACCCATTGCAACTCTTTCCTTTCCCAAGATTCCACTAAGCTCATCACTGCTTCCCGGCCTCCTTCGACCGCCATTGCTATTAGCTCCTCTTTTGGTCCTACTATCGCTCCCCATGAGTCATTTTCCTCTCTGTGTCCTCGAGTGGTGACTGACCCTTCTGTCAGTTCTGCTACTACGGCAGGTACCCCTTCTCCAACGTCTGGATCAATAGTTCTCCCGATGTGCATCCCTCGCTCATCATTTCGTTATCCACCGCGAGAGTCCCTCCTTCGTATTCGAGGAAGGCGTCTATGGRCTYTGCATCCTYCATCCCTTCGGGAGTGATGCAAACCCGACTCARCCCATCTGCCTTGTTGSGGATTCCAGCAATCCGTTCGATCTTGTAATCGAACTGCCAGATGAATCCTACCCATCTCCCTACCGTCGGATCTATAGGCCTGTAATTCTTCAGAGCCCCTGCGACATTCGTCGGATCGATCCTTAAGATGAACCGCCTCCCAAATAGGTAGGCCTGGAAGGTCTTAAGGCAATGCAGGATGGCTAGGACTTCTTTCTTGAATTGCGAGTACCGCCGTTCAGCGGAGTTCAGGGTTCTACTTTCGAATCTAATCGGCCTCTCTTTTCCTCCCTCATCCCTTTGAATCAACACACCTCCTACGGCCAAAGGTCCTCCATCCGTCTCTAGGATGAAGGGTCATCCCACTTCGTCATTAAAACAAGGCGCGGACAGGGCGACTGTCTCAGATGTCAATATGTCCTTGAGCCTTTGGACAGCTCCTTCTCGCTCCTCCGTCCAATCCATGGTTCCTTCTTCCCTGATCATAGCCCGGATAGGCTCAACAATCTTGACAAAGTTCTTAATGAAGATCCTCCAAAAGCCGACTACGCCTAGGAATGCCCTTACCTCCGTTGTCGTGCGCAATGGTGTCGGCCATTGTGATATCTTGTCGGTTTTTGTCGGATCCGGCTTCCTGCCGTAAGCACTGCAACGAAATCCTAGTATAGTTACCTCTGGTACTGCTAGGATACTCTTCCGTCCACTAGCCGTAATGTTGTATACTAGGAACCGTCGGAGTAGATCCTTGATGTCCTGCAGGTGGTCCCACACAAAACGTCGGATCCCTGGCTGGACTTCCGTCTCGTCCTTCTCCTGCGCGCCTTTGATCGGATTGTCATCGATGTAAGATTCACATTTTTCTGGGAACATGTCCCCGGCCACAGCGAGCATCCTGCGTTGCGCTTCGGCCACCGCGTTTGTGAATCCCATAGGTGTCACTTGCATCCGTAGCTGGCCTACGGGGGTATGCATAGCGGTGTATGGCCTGTCCCGAACATCCAATGGAAGCTGGTCGTACCCTGGGTACACATCTATCAGGGAGTAAATGCTCCGACCGGCGTGCGGTTATGCTAATAAGTCAGAGTGAGGTAGCGAGTCACATCCCGGATGGTTACCGCATTCAACTTCTACAGGTTCTGAATCCACCTTAGTGTCTTGTTAGGCTTCCGAAAGACGAACCACCGATTTGCGTATGGCGATGCCGTAGGCTCAGCAACGAAGGAGTCCATCTTCGCTCGGAGGAGGTCTGTTACTTCTCCCGCTATCCCAAATTCATAGGATGGCCCCTTATCATTCCAGCACTCATGTTCTACCGTGTGGATTCTGACCGGAGGGATTAACTTCGCATCTAGTCGTCCCTTCTGGTGATCACTAAAGGCAAATGCCAGGTGAAACTCCTGGCAGGTCCTTTTGATTAGGCGGGTTTCTTCCTCCGTTAAGAACCCGTCTATCCCTATCTTCATTGTGTCCGCTACCTCATCTGGTATCCGATGTCCCTCCATCGCCCTTCTTTCTCGGATCACTCGAAGGACCTCTTCCTCCTTCTCCATAGCCTCTTCCTTTGACGTCTCTAGCGGGATCGAGACCGGTTTTGCTTTCTTCCCTACCGGCTTGTACTTTCGAACACTTCCTTTCGGGATCTTTCTCCTAAAAAATGAACAGTCGGAATTGCCCCCGTCGCCTCTACAACTCGTGGTTAAATACTAACTAGTTTCCTATTCAGGCAATATCCCTTTTGCACCTCTCTTTCGAACTTGGCTAAGGCTGCCGAATCCACTCCGACCTTGTGGTATCTGAGGGCCTTGATGAGTTGCAATTGATCGGGGATTTCGAGGGCGATTTTCGGCACGTCTATGCGTATTTCTTTCCGTTTAGGCAGGCTAGCACCAAGTTCGACCTCTGACTCCCTTTCCGCTACCATAACACCTAGGACTTCGTCCTCTGTCTCCTCTTCTTCTGGGGCAGGCCCATCTTGATCCACTCCTTTTTGTTGAATGCTTCCTCAATCATGATTTCTACTCTTTCTCTCATACCCTCCATCCGTGCGAAAACCCCTTTCCGCGTGCTATCCTCGAACGACAGCGACCATGTTGCCAATTTCCCCTTCTGGGGGTCTCCTCCCGTTCCAAGGAGTCGGCGGAGCTCTCCCCGACCGGTCATAGGGTCCTCTATGTCTACCATGTATGAGTCATCGTGCAAGTGCATGCCTATCATCTCTACGTTCGCTGTCGGAAGATGATGCGGTGCGGCAGCGGAAATTGACCCACCGCGGTCAACTCCCATGCTGCGTCAAAATTGCGTCCGCAGTCATGGGCCCAAGCGCTTCGGTTAGACTTCCCCTGGGCCAAAATCGAGGGAAAGACGGCGCGGCGGTACGGGCCTGAGGAAAGTGTACATTCACATCTCGAGGATAAGGGAACTGCTTCGAAGCTTGCATGAGAAAGTGACTTGGGGGCAACGAGTCAGGCAATTTGAAAGACTCCCTAGTTTTCTGACTACGGATAGCTTCACTGATAGGAGAGACTGGGCGCCTCTTCTAGAAGCTATTGTCGTGGTTGGTAGAGCAAGAGAAAATGACCTAGTCATGCGACCAAAGACGCTGTTTTCCGATACCTTTGTACGTCGGTTCGAAGTCCAAGACAAAGCTTCTTCTGAATTTTTTCTCACCTGACAATGGAAAGGAGCTTGTTATGGCCGAGGAGTATGCTGGTTTCCTAAGAAGCAGGCATAGTTGGGAGAAGGCTGAAGGAAAGGAACTACGAGATATTAATTATTCGGTTATCTCGCGCCTACTCCGGGATTTAGAGCCCCTCACGGTAGGAGGGGCATTTCCTTATGAGATTGAGAGATACACTGTCTTAGTCATACATGAGGCTGAGGAGAAAGTGTATGTGTTAGTAACTCGCTTCCTAGAGACCAATGAATATGACGTACGTATATACACTCCAGTGACTAGGAAGATTTGGCGGTGGTATACTGGGTGTCATGAGTGGGCACTTAGTCACGTCTGTAAATACAGAGACGGACTCAAGAAGGAAGGTAAGAAAGTTACTTGGAGTGTGGAGCCTACTGAGTACGAGGGTTTTTCAAGTCCTCCTATCCCCAATTGCTTCGCCAATGGTGAGGACTGGGAGCCTATTCTTAATGCTGTTTTGAGAGATAGGAAGTGGAGCGGTGTCAACATTGGCGATTCAGGCACTGGATAGGATTAGACGGATCATGGGGGTCGCTAGGGAGTAGGCAATGTCTGGTTACTGTCCGGAAGTTACGGCAACACTAGACGCCTTGGTTCCTTTTACCAGTGGAGGAACTTTCCCCTACAAGGTAGAGCGCTGCATATCCCTGGAGGAGAAGCATGCACCTGGGAAGGCGTATATCCTTGTAGTGAAGTTCCTTGACACTGGCGAATACGATATCCGACCCTATATTCCCTCACTGAGAGAGAGAGGGACAGATCGCGAGTCCTTTCAGAGCTGGATTAGTGATATAGTTAATCAAGAAAAGAGAGAGTTAGAAAGAAAAGGAGCAAGAGTAGTAAGTAACCTAGCTCCGATTGTGTTTGACAAGTTCCCCGAACCAGTTTTGCCGGAAAGTTTTACCGACGGCAGAAACTGGGAACCGAGGAGACCGAGATCACTCTATCCTGGAAAGAAGCAGTAGCCTTGATACCTAAGTTTAGAGAAGAACTTAAAAAGATGGTTGAAAGGTGGAAGGTAGAAATCAATACCCTAAGACTCTTTCCTCAGCATGTGGAAAGAGCCCCGTTTGGTACCAAGATGAGGTTTGATAACATGTCGTGTGGATACTTGAATATCTCTGTGAATGACGTGAAGGTTAGAGCCCTAGTGGACTCTGGGACCGAGATGGTGCTTATGTCCTCGACCACAATGAGATCATGTGGACTTGGAATAGATAGGAAAGCCAACCACCAACTCTCCAATATAGCCGGATTCCTACCATTGGAAGGATTCATTGATGATTTGCCCATCCGGATTGGAACTTTACGGGCCGAGATCCTCTGTTTTGTGGTCCCCAACTTGGATAATGATTGCATTCTCGGAGCCCCTTTCCTACATAGAATGGAGGCTTGTGCGTTCTTTGGCCATGATGGGGCAGCCTGGCTTTCTCTTCAGGATCCTAACAATGGTCAAGAACAGGCTTTTGTGATAAGTGATAGGCATCATCCTCGTCATCAGCGACATGTTAACTCTCTCAAGCATGGAGAATCTGACAAGTTGATTGAGGAAGTACGAGCAAAGCTGAAAGAAAGTGGAATAATAGACGAGAAGACAACGATTAGAGTAAATGATATCGGGAAGATGCTCAAGCTCCTGGATAAAGAGAAGGAGTTGGGCGATAAGAGAGAAATGGAAGGATTAAAGGATGCTGTGAGGGCGGCAAAAGTTGGCACGATGCAGCTCACCTTCTCTGCGAGTGGTCCTTTTTTAGGAAAATAATCACCGGATCTAAGAGGAAGTATAAGTGCAAGGGCGTTAAGAAGAATCCGGTGGCAGTTCTGATAGAAAAGGAATACAATGAGGCATTAGAGAAGGAGAGAAAGATAGTTAAAAGATCACGAGAGGCTGCATTAAAAGGAGGGAGAATCACCCCAGAGAGGTTCAAGATAATGAAGGTAGGAGCCAATGACTTCCCTCTGCCGGCTGAGAGGGATTTCATATATGAATTATGTCAAAAGTACAGTGGTGCCTTTTCCTTTAATGATGAGGAGAGGGGACGACTATACGTTGACATGATCAAGATGGTCAAGATCTGGACCGTTCCCCACACGCCTTGGAATGACAGACCCACGAAATATGCCCAAAAGGAAGAAAAAGAGGTAATGGAGTACATAAATCAGAAGATCGCCTCCAACGTTGTGGAACTAGCTGATGGAGCTTATGCCAATCACTGGTTTTGCTTTTGGAAGCCAGGTGGCGGTCTGCGCTGGATACAAAACTTGCACAAATTGAACTCGGTAACGGTACGCGATGCGGGTAGCTTACCCAACGCGGATCTATTAGCCAAGTCATTTGCCGGAAGGAGCATCTACTCCCTAATGGACTTGTACTCTGGCTATGACCAGTTCCCGATAGATCCTACTAGTCGACCTATGACCGCCATGCACACGCCTAGAGGCCTCATACAAATGTGTGTGGTGCCTCAAGGGTGGACGAATGGGGTCGCGGTCGTTCAGCGAGATATGCTGAAGGTCATGGAGGACATATACCCAGAGGTTACGTTTCCATACATTCATGACAATCCAGTTAAAGGACCGAAGGAAAAAGATGAGACTTTACTGGATGGTCGAGTCAGGCAGTTCGTATGGGAACATGCGCAGGGAGTAGCGAAAGTACTAGAAAGGTTGGCTAAATAGAACCTAACAGCCAGCGGGCCGAAATCACTACTGTTCCAAATGGAGGTAACGATCTTGGGTTTTAGGTGCTTCTTGGAAGGAAGGAGCCCCGATCCGAAAAAAGTGGATAAACTCCTGAACTGGCCTATGCCTCTAAAAACGGTTGGGGAAGTAAGGAGCTTCCTAGGGGTCTGTAGCTTCTGGCGGATCTTCATCCCCGGGTTTGCCAAGATAGCCGAACCCCTTAGAGAAATGGTGCGACAAGGAGCTAGCTTAGAGTGGTCTGACCAAAGAGAGAAGGTTGCGCGGGTACTTCAAGATAAGCTAAGAGATGGCGGGGTCGTATTAGGAGTACCCTACTTCGTCGATGAAAAGGAGAGGCCCTTCATCATCGAAGCCGATGGCGGCTCGATAGCATTAGGAGGGGTGCTCGTGCAGCGAGATGAGAATGGTAAAGAAAGGTCACTTAGATTTGAGAGTCGCACCCTTAATTCGTTAGAGAGAGGCTATATTCAGTTCAGGAAGGAACTCCTGGCAATCCTGCACTGTCTCAGGGTATTTAAACACTATGTTATGGGACGGAAATTCATCCTAAGAACGGATTCCACGGCAGTAATCGGAGCGGTTAAGAGGCATCAACAAGTACGGTTAGTAGGTGG